TTCCCTCTCTGCCCTCACTTCCCTCCCTGCTCTCTCTCCATTTTCTGCCTCTTCGCCTTCTCGCCTCCTCACCTTCTCACCACATTGTCTTCCTGCCCCTCAGTCTACTAGCAGCAAGCCCGCCTACGGTACCCATCTCATCGCAGCATACAGTCCTAATTTGTCATCAGTTCTGGCATGGTATGTGAATGCATGTACTGTCACCGTGAGTCTCCCCTCCTTCCCTCTCCCTTCTGTGGTGCAGCTCGTCATGGATGAAGCGATCAAGCAGACAAGTTGGTTAGATTATGGAGGATAGTGTGGTGTGGGTCTTTGTTGTATCATAACCTCGAATTGCACGTATATCGCAAAGTTTCCAATCAATTTGGGGTTTTATATATCCAATAATGATGACATATATTACGATATGTGTGGTCAATTGTAATGGTCTCCTCCTGTTGCAGCACTAGTGGGTGTGGGGAACAATAACTACTCATATAATACGGTATATTGCGCAAGGTACAAAACAGCCTTTTCCTCCAATCTTATTGTGGCCTCCGCACACACGTGACTAATGTAGCTCAAGTTGAGTGGTGGTGAGAGGCCATGCTGTGCTCGTGCTCCTGCAGTCACCCCTGCAGCATCAGCAACTCAGAGGCCCAAGCAGGTAGGAAGCAGGGGCGGATGAGCAGAACGTGTGGAGGCAGGGCGAGTGGAGAGCCAAAGCCTGCCTGCATCCCCGCCCACTTCCTAAACCCTGCATGGCAGCCCGCTGCCCTGCTGCCGCCTGCATGGCACACTCAGCCCAGCACGCAGCGAAAAGAGGAGAGTGGCAGGGCAATGGCAGGGCGAAAGGAAATCACCTCCGCAGCACTGCCAGGTGCAGCAGGGGGATAGGAGTGGGAAATGAGTGGGAAAGAAGGAGAGGCAAAGAAATAAAGGGAGAAAAAGGGCACCCGGAGGGAGAAAGAAGGGGAAACGGAAGGGGGAGTGAGGAAGAAGGTTGGGGGGGCATGAGGCAGATGTGCAAGTCAGGTGTCCTAGGGACGAGCAGAGGAGAAGGGGATTGGAGGGATGAGGAGGATTGCGCGGGTTCGTGTGAGCGCAGTTGAGTGCGAGAAGCACTTCCCTCCCATTACCCACACCCGCCACGCCTCTGCCTCTCGCAAACGTGCTGCTGCCACGGGTTTCGGAAGCAAAGTGAAAGGAAGGGATCGGAGGGGAAAGGAAGGGAAGGGAGAGAAGGTGCGCTGTGAAGGAGAGTCCGGGGAGGTGCGCCCTCGGGGGAAAGGGAGGTGCGACCTGGCGGGAAAGGAAGGTGCGACCTGGGGGGAAAGGGAGATGCGACCTGGGGGGAGAGAGAAGGCGCAAGGAGGCTACAACTACCTCTGCACGGAGCCACTGCTCCGCTCCGTCTCCGCTTCCCCGCCCTGCAAAGTCACGGTCCTCGCCCACTTCCAGTGCTCCCATCTCGCTCAGTAACTGGTAGCTGATGGGATGGGGGGAAAGGAGGAGGTGGAGGAGGTTGGGGAGGAAGGCGGAGAAGAAGTTAGCGGCGGCGCCTGGGGGAAACCTTACCGTGGTAGGTCGGTCTAAGTGAGGACGCCCCCACACCCTGGGGGGAAGGGAGGTGCGATTTGGGGGGAAGGGAGGTGCGACATGGAAGGAAAGGGAGGTATGACCTGGGGGAAAGAGGAGAGCGGCACCCTGGAAGGGATGAGAGAGGGGGCAAACATGGTTCTCAAGGTCAAGGTGCAACAACCGACCCAAGTCCTGCCAGCGGCGGGGAGGGAGGAGGACAAGGGGGAGGGAGGAGGACAGGGGGGAGGGAGGAGGACAGGGGGAGGGAGGAGGACAGCGGGGAGAGAGAAGGACAGGGGGGAGGGAGGAGGACAGGGGGGAGGGAGGAGGACAGGGGGGAGGGAGGAGGACAGGGGGAGGGAGGAGGACAGGGGGGAGGGAGGAGGACAGGGGGGAGGGAGGAGGACAGGGGGGAGGGAGGAGGACAGGGGGGAGGGAGGAGGACAGGGGGGAGGGAGGAGGACAGGGGGGAGGGAGGAGGACAGGGGGGAGGGAGGAGGACAGGGGGGAGGGAGGAGGACAGGGGGGAGGGAGGAGGACAGGGGGGAGGGAGGAGGACAGGGGGGGGAGGGAGGAGGACAGGGGGGAGGGAGGAGGACAGGGGGGAGGGAGGAGGACAGGGGGGAGGGAGGAGGACAGCGGGGAGGGAGGAGGACAGCGGGGGGGAGGAGGACAGGGGGGAGGGAGGAGGACAGGGGGGGAGGGAGGAGGACAGGGGGGAGGGAGGAGGACAGGGGGGAGGGAGGAGGACAGGGGGGAGGGAGGAGGACAGGGGGGAGGGAGGAGGACAGGGGGGAGGGAGGAGGACAGGGGGGAGGGAGGAGGACAGGGGGGAGGGAGGAGGACAGGGGGGAGGGAGGAGGACAGGGGGGAGGGAGGAGGACAGGGGGGAGGGAGGAGGACAGGGGGGAGGGAGGAGGACAGGGGGGAGGGAAGATGAGGGAGCATGAGGGAGGTGTGCAATTCAGGTGTGCTAGGAATGGGCAGAGGAGAAGGGGATTGAGGGGATGAGGAGGAATGCGCAGGTTTGTGTGAGCGCAGTTAGTGCGAGATGCACTTCCCTCCCTAAACCCGCACTCGCCGCGCCTCTGCCCCTCGCACCCACGCTACTGCCACCTCACTTTCTGAAGAAAGTAGTGGGGAAATGGGGAAGAAAAGGGTGAAATGAGGGGAAGGAGGGATGGGAATGACGGCATGGAGGGGGGAAATGGGGGGAAGGAGGGAGAGACATGAGGGAAAGAAGGGGGAGAGGGAAGGGAGGAGATAGAATGAGCTGAATGAGGGTTTGGGGGGGATGGGAAGATGGGGTTGAGGGACGGGAGGAGATGCGACCTGGGGGAAAAGGGAGGTGCGACCTGGGGGAAAAGGGAGGTGCGACCTGGGGGGAAAGGGAGGTGCGACTTGGGGGGAAATGGAGGTGCGACCTGCGGGTAAGGGGATACGCGATCTGGGGGGAAACGGAGGTGCGACCTGGTGGGAAAGGGAGGTGCGACCTACGGGTAAGGGGATATGCGACATGGGGGAAAATGGAGGTGCGACCTGGAATGGCTGCTACTCTGTCCTCTCCTAGCAGGGATCGCGGATGCGAGTGTGGTGGCGTGGAAAAGGCGCTACGCCACGCGCACATGGCGAGAATTGCGAGTTTGAGCGGGTTGGCGTGAAACAGACGGTACGAGTGATGCTACTTGCGGGAATCGCGGCTCTTAGCGTGGTGGCGCGAAACAGACGCCGCAAGTGGGAATCGCGGCTTAGCGTGGTGGCATGAAGAAGACGCTACGCTACGCGCAACTGGCCAGAATTGCGGCTGTGAGCGGGGGGGTGGCGTGAAACAGACGTTACGCTACATGCTGCTACCTGGAATCGCGGCTATCAGCGTGGCTGCGTGAAAAAAACTCTACACTACGCGCTCCAGGCGAATTTCGCGGCAGTGGGCGCGGTGGCGTGCAGAATTCTGCTGCGCTGCCTGCAGCTAGCAGGATTCCGCATTTCCGCATTTCCGCGGATTACTTCTCCCAAGCAAACTAGCTCACGAAATTGTTTGCCATCGCTCTGGGTGTTCGAATTCCTCACACGTGTTTGAGGATGAACCTTAGGACGCGTCCCCTCAGCGCCGATCTAGAGATCGATCCTACGAAGGATCGATTTTTTGCGTGGTTTAAAAAGCTTCTAGAGGTTTTTTAAGCGTTGTGCAAAGTTTTAGTGCGGTGGAGGATCGATTTTCGACGATCGATCGCAGGATCGGCGTTCAGGGGACGCGTCCTTACTCGCTCTCAAATCAGTTTGCGCCAAAAGGTGTGCACTTAGATTACCCCCAGAAAATCCCTTTTAGAATGTAGACCGCAGCTTTAACAAACTCGAAATGCATTTCGTTACATTGTGCGGAATGCGCAGAAGGTTGAACAACCCTAAGCGAGGAACACAATCCATACACAGTATCGAGGTTCACATTAAACTGTACATAGTGGATTTTGTAATCAGCTGAGAAACATAACATTCACTGTATCAACAATGTCGAGGTGTTTCTTAAAACCTGAATCTCGAATTACAAGTTCATAAGCAAACTGGTGACACTGTGCCACCCGCACCTTTTTTGCCGAACCACGTTGAGGGTTCCAGGGTTCCGCACCTCCTTGGTTACCCCACGATCAGTCACTTTACGCATCAAAAACTTCTCCGTCATGAAGCTCTCCGCTTCCCTACTGCTCTTCGCCCTCGTTTGTACTCGCTCATTCTCTCCTTATCCAACTGAAGATCGCCTTACTGTATCCGCCTCCTCTTTTCGGCAGGCTACCCGCGACGTTCTTCAGGAAGGTGAGTATAACCAATCGCTGTCTAACGAGGTGTTTGGCTGCTGGTTTTCAGGAAGTTTTTGCTACGTGGATCTTGCTCCTAGGTCTACGGACCAGGTAAGTGCTCTGCTGGACGTGATTGGGTCTGACACAACGTGTGGTTCCGTAATTTCAGGCAGTATTCCCTACTGGTTTTTTCTCTTCGACCTTCCTGCTTCCAAGGCCTTCCCCATCTTTCGGAGCCTTCCTTCCTCTGCGCAGCCTTGCCGGTGCTGTAGGGCTGCCTTGTGCTGCTTGCTTCCATGCAAGCCTTCTGCGTCGCTCCTGAGCTGGTGCCCTCGTCGATATTCCTCCCGCTGGTGTAAGCTACGAGACCACCTTGCTGGACCTTACGCGGGTCTCTCAAACTCCCGATGTGTATGCGTTCTTGACTTGTACTGCCGATCTGGCAAACAGTCACTATTGACGGGCTGCTTAGGCCATTGCCGAAGCGCCCAGCCCACCTTCCTTACCCTCGCTCACCTCCTTTCACGTCTCGGCTGTGTGCCGTGTCGCCTCAATAATGCTCCTGCTTCTGGCCCGGCCCCGTTGTTGGAATGGCGGTGTTATTTACGCCTCCCGCCTCTGATTCCATTACCATCCCTCGCCACCATGGACTCTCATCACAACCCAGACACTGTCATGACTGACGAGCAGCTTGCTGCTGGGGAGGAAACGATCACCGACCTCGGCGATTACGTCCTCGAAGATCTCCCCGACGGCGTTCCGCCGGAACTTAACGAAGAGCCTGCTGCTAAGAAGCAGTGTGGCGAAGGGACCTCCTCTGGTGCTGCTGGGGCTAGCGCTCCTGCTGCTGCGCCGCTGGTGCCGCAGCCGATGCAGCGCTCTAACTCTTCCGGTAGCTCCGCGGCCATGGCCCCCTCGTCGTCTCGTCCGTCGGCCCCACCAAGGCCGAGGTCTGCTCCGCCCTCTCGGCCGCAGCCTCCTGTCCAGGAAGCCGCGGTTGAACAGCCTTCAGCCGGAACTGCCGCCAACCTCTCCCTGTCGGTGCGATACCGCAACCTCCGCCGTCACCGCCCCTCCGTGGGTACCGAGCTCCGGTCCCTGACGCGCGACCCGCTGCTACTGGTTGCGGTGATGTTTCCGGAGTGCTCTGAGGAGGTTCGGGAGAGTATCCTCTCCCGGATCGCCGCTGCGCTCCCCGGCTCTGCTGCCTTCAACCGTGCTGTCCCGCAGTTTGACGCGGCTACGGGTGAGCCGCTGCTCTTGCCGCGCAGGACGTATTTTCGGCACATCTACTCCTGGACCTCCGCTGCTGACGCACGCATCTTCCGCGGGCTGTTTGCGGTTCCTTTCCTTGTGCGGTTGAACAACAGCCGCCCAATCGAGGTTAAGATTTACGTGGACCCATACCCTGAATTTTCGGCTGCAAAGGCTCGTGGCGACACGTACATGGTGGTGCGGAACGTGCCGCTTGGTGTCCAGCCCGAAGAACTGCGCGCCTCTCTGCTCAGCGGCAAAACCGATGATGATTTGCCGTGGCTTGCGGATCTCCTGCATTTTCACCGGCTCAAGGACCCTTATGACGGCTCGGCTTACTCGCAGATGCTTGGACTCCCGGTTGCGGCCGAAGGAGATCCTTCCTTTAACCGCATCTCGGCTATCCTCTGGATCCCGGACCAGGAGGAGCCCGCCTTCCTCAACATATCATGCCACGCGTGCACCCTGTGCTCAAGCAACCACAGGCTTGAGGATCACGCATGCTTCGCCATCACCCGACGCAACCGGGTCGCCAACAGGCAATCCATCACCATGTCTGCGCTGCAGGCGGTTAACGGTACTAACAAACCCCCGCACGTGCCCTTGCTGGCGTTGCCCTTCCTTTCTTGTTCTAAGGCCCTACCAAACCATAGTTCCTTCCCTCGCTGCACTTGTCTGCTCCCTGCTACCTTCGGCTCTGGTCTGGTTACCCCCCCTTCCCTGCTTCCCCCTTTCCACTCTCCCTGCTCCTTCACCCCCCCTCTCCCAGGCAAGCTCCTTGGACAGCACGCTTCCACGGCAGCTTTCAAGAAAGACCCCGGCCTGCTCCTCATTAGCCTTGACCTCGACGTGGAGGTGTGGGCGTGTTCGATCTGCGACTTCGTGTGCGGCATCGCTCTCGACAGCGCGATGTTTCACCTCAACTCCGATCAGCACCGCAACAGGCTGAAGGACCCTGTATCAGAATAGCTAGGCAAGAATGAATGAACTAGCAGAAGTTTGGGTACAAATATGAAACCCTAGTTGGGGTTGTACCCCATATTGGCTACCCCACTACAGCCTACCAACATAGAACCCATTATAATTTAACACACCCCCATAGGCAAAGTGGGGGAGAACAAAGGGTCACAAGACCAGTCCAGCAAAGCAACACAAGCCCAGGGTGGATCACAACGTCACCACACTCCGAGCACAAGCAAAGGCCACAAGGCCAGTTCACATGCAGTGCTAGATATAGTACAAGACAAGCAACACAGTGATCAAACCTAGCAAGCAAGCAACAAGATATATATAAAGTACAGTACAAAGAATGTCAAGCAGTGAGCAAGTGAGGAAACGTGGACACAAGGCCTAAAGAAGTACAGTGCCGCTGATGATCACTAGGCGGGAGCGCCTTGGTGAAGATATCAGCAGTGTTGGCCTTCGAGTCCACGTACACAAGCCGAAGCTGACCGCGCTGCTGAAGCTCTCGAGCAAGAAAGTAGCGAAGAGCAATGTGCTTCGTCCTGTGCTCCAGTCTGTGCTCCTGACACAAGGCAAGGGCCGCCTTGTTGTCGCCGTACAGAACTGGAGGAGAACTAGGCCGCTCTCCCAAGTCAGTCAGCAGGTAGGTGAGCCAGCGTAACTCCTGTGCAGCCATGGCCGTGGCGTAGATCTCAGCCTCACAACTAGAGCTGAGAACAGAAGAAGAACGGGTGGACCGCCACGAGACAGAACCAGAGCCAAGGCTGAAGGTGTAACCCTGTGACGACCGCTGCATAGCCAGGTCGTCCACCCAAGAAGCGTCCGAGTGACCAGTGAGGACAACTCTGTCGTGTCCTCCAAGCACCAGCCCCATGCCTGATGTACTGCACAAGTAGCGCAGCACCCTCTTAGCAGCCTCCCAGTGCTCTCGCCTGTGTCTCCCAGGTGCAACGTAACGAGCAAGGATGCTAAGAGGGTACGCGAGGTCAGGTCGCGTGCAAGTCATCAGGTACATGAGGCAGCCCACAAGCTCTGGGTACGGGCCACTCGGCTCTACGGACTCGTCCGGAGGTGGAGCTGAGAGCGAGTGACTGGTAGCCAGAGGTGTGGCCTGTGGTGAGGAGAACTGGAAGCCGAAGCGCTGAAGGACCTGCTGCACCATGTGTGACTGAGTCAGGGTGATGGTGCGGCGAGATCTGTCCCGGGTGATCTGCAAGCCAAGATAGCTACGCAGCTCACCCAGGTCAGTGCAGGTGTGTCTCTTCTGCAGCTCCGACTTCACACGAGCGAGTGCCTCAGTGTCAGCAGTAGCAAAGACCAAGTCGTCGACGTACACGAGAATGTAGAACGGCGGCAGCGACGTGTCTGTGCGCAGAAACAGCGACGGGTCAGCAGTAGACGGCGCGAACCCAAGAGCCGCAAGTGTAGTCCTCAGTGTGTCGTGCCACTCGCGTGGCGCCTGGCGGAGACCGTAGACTGGCCGGCGGAGGCTCCACTGGGTACCAGGAGGAAACGACCCAGTAAAGCCAGGTGGGCGGCGTAGCCAGATCTCCTCGTGCAGGCTGCCCTGCAGGAACGCTGTGCTGAAGTCAAGGGAGTGAAGCTCGTAGTCACGCTGAGCAGCAACGTGCAGCAGAACCCGAAGAGTGGTCACCTTCGGGGTGGGGGAGAAGGTCTGGAAGAAGTCGACCCCCTGACGCTGACTGAAGCCTCGAGCAACGTAACGAGCCTTGAAGACAGGCGGAGAACCTGGCGGCCGCTTCACCCTGAAAATCCACATGCCATCGACGATGTTCGCCCCAGGAGGGGGAACCTCGTCGACGTAGGTGCCTGTGGACTTCCAGGATGCCATCTCTGCGTCCATGGCTGTCTGCCACTGAGAGGAGTAGGGACCCGAGATCGCCTCTGCGTAAGTGCGCGGAGTGGGGATGTCTAGTGCATCCGGGTCTCCCTCAGGGGCAAGCAACCAGGCCACGAGATGAGGTACAGCAGCCGCAAGAGAGTCAAAGTCCTCCTGCCTGTCCTCAAGGACGTCCGTGCCAAGAGCACACTCACCCCCGACGGACGGAGGACAGACAGACTCAGACTCAGCAACAAGACTAGCGGCGTAGTCTAGACGACAGGCAGCAGCAAAGTCGACCAACTCAGCGACCAGAGCAGACACAGCCGAGGACTCAAAGGTAGGGTCAGTGACAACAGTAGCTAGGAGACGCGTGACAGTAGGGTGCTCAGCACGATACCGGTCAGACTCAGGGTCCGGAACAGCAGGCAAAGAGGACGCAGGAGGAGACGGCAGAGGGACACGCTGAGGAGCAGTAGAAGGACGCAGAGTCATGTAGTGAGTGCCTGGGACAGGAGGAGGACGCTCACGACGGACACGACGACCAGTGCGAGCAGTACGGACAGGCGACGCAGGACGAGACTCAGGCTCACGACGCTCTGTAAGACCTCCTGTGGGACCAGTGTAAGGAGAGGGAGCAGGGAGAGGCGAGGTAGGCGGTAACTGTGACTGCGGCTGGACAGTCGGAGGACACTCTACGGAGGGAGGAGGACAAGGAGGAGGAGCCTGTCCAAGAACCTGCTGAAGGAGCGGTACGAAGTACGGCCGCGGCCGCGCAGCGGCTCAGAAGCAGCAGCAGCGTCACCGCTCGGGTCCTCAGCTCCAGCAGCAGCTCCACCAGGTGGGTCCGCAGCACCAGCAGCAGCACCACCCCCAGGGTCCGCAGCTACAACTCCGCTAGCGCCGCCAGCTCCAGAGTCCCCAGCTCCAGCAGCTCCAGTCGTAGTGCTCCCAGAACAACCAGTCCCGGCAGCTCCAGCACCCCCAGCTCCAGCCGAGCCACGAGGACGGCGAAAGCGCCGGACGTACCAGTCACGAAGCTGCTGTGGTGTGAGAGACTGCTCAGCACCCCGAACCGGAGCACCCCCAGACGCAGCAACCCGAGGCTCCGTAGGCTCAGTAGCAGCACCCCCAGGCTCAGTACCCGCAGGCGCAGCACCCCCAGACTCAGCACCCCCAGACTCCGCACACGCCGGCTCAGCACCCCCAGTCGCAGCACCCCCAGGCTCAGCACCCCCAGGCGCCGAACTCTCAGGCACAGTACCCTCAGCTCCAGCACCCGTAGTCCCAGCACCCCCAGGCCCAGCACCCTCAGGCTCAGCCCCCCCAGCAGCACCACCTGCAGCAGCACCTGAGTCACCTGTGACCTCGACAGGCTCAGCGACGGGAGGAGGGTCTACCTGAGAGACACCTGAAGGAGCAGGACCCTGAGGGGGGAGGGGGTCTACCGGAGGGGGACCAGGAGCAAGGAAAAGCGGCGGGGGAGGGAGGGGGGCAGTACGGTAGGGGAAGAGACGGTAAAAAGGGACCGACTCGTCAAAGGTGACGTCCTGAGAGGCGAAGACCCGGCGCGAGGTGGGGTGGTAAAACTGCCAGCCAGGCGCGTCCAGGACAAAGCCAAGGAAGACACAGGGAAGCGTGCGGGAGGAGAGAGCTTGTCCGCGGACGTATCGCGGACAAGGGCACGAGCACCCCACACCCGGAAGCGCGACGCATCGCCAACCTCCCCCGTCCAACGCAGTGTGGGCGAGGTCTCCGGCAAGGAGACACGGGGCCAGAGGTTGAGCTGATGCGCGGCGTACCGGACAGCAAACGGCCACAGAAAATGGGGAGCCGCCGCGTGGACCAAGGAGGTACGAGCGACCTCCATGACCAGGCCAATGCGGCGCTCAGCAACCCCATTCTGCTGTGGGGAGTCCGGAAGCGTGAAGGTCTGCTCGATGCCCTCCGCCTGACAGAAGGTCCTCAAGAGGTCGGAGGAAAACTCACCACCTCTGTCAGAGTGCAGACGCAGGACAGGAAGATCCGTCCGGAAACGGCGGCGGAGCGCGGAGCTGGAGACGAACTGTGCGGATCCAAGGGATCAGAACAGCAGGGACCTCACCCTTGGTGCGCAAGGGGAAGACCGTGGTGTAACGCGAGTAGTCGTCGACAACCAGCAAAAAGTACCGCTCACCGCCCTGACCACGAACGCGGGCTGGGCCCCACACGTCCAGGTGGAGGGTCTGCAGAGGAGCCTCTGTCGGGGGGAACGAGGAGGAGTGAGGAGCGGCGCGCTGCCGCCCCTCGACGCAAGGAAGGCAAGGCGGCGCAGGCGAGGCAGGGAGGGGAGGGAGGGACCTGGGAAGACCAGACACAAGGAGGCGACGGTGCATGCCACGGAGGCGTGGCAAGGAGGGGTGACCCAGGCGGTGGTGCCAGAGAAGAGTCTGGTGCGACAGGGAACGACACTCACAGGCGTGGGCTACCAGACCTGACGCGGACACCTGACCGACAGCAGCGACCTGGGGAGACGCAGTGGTCAGTGTGTAGAGACTCGACCCCGGCCGACGAGTAAACGTAGCCAGGTGACGGCCGGTCCTGGAGCACGTGCAGATCGCCACACGCTGTCCTCCAGGGGTGAAGGTGTCAACCCACTGATCCTGGAGGACAGCGTTGCTCACCAGGTTCGTCGAGAACGAGGGGAGGTGGAAACCTGTCAACGAGCCAGACGGAACCGCCGGACAAGGGAGCACAGTGGTGGACCGGGCAAGGACCGGGCCCCCAGAGGGATCAGCCAAGGAGACTGAGACCGGTTGCAGAAAGCGGTGTGAGCTCAGTACTGTCTCGAAAGAAGCAGCGGGAGGCACCTGAGTCAAGGGTGAAGGTGTGACAGGGCTCAGTCGGTGCAGTACCTGAGAGAGCAGTCTCTGTGGGTGCTGTACCTGAGAGAGCAGACTCGCAAGCAGCAGGGACAGTGCAGGAGGGAGCAGGTACAGGGGGCACCATACCAGAGAGAGCAGACTCACTAGTACCTAGGGCAGCGGGCTCTATACCTGGGTCAGGCGGCACACACAAGTAACAGTCTCCCTCGGCACTAACAGTCAATGCATACATGGCAGCTATAATAGCATCATAGTCAAGAGCAAAGATATCAACCCCAGCCCTCATCAGCTCAGCCCAGCGAGGGCGCTCAACATCCTCGCCCATCTCCTCACGCCAAGCGTCGTCAAGGCGGAAGAAGCAGCGGTACGGGGTGTGAAACCTCCCACACGTCTGTCCCTTGCGATCACCTGTGCGAATGACATAGGAACAGCGGCTACTGCCCCCAGACGTCCCACGCTGAGCAAGCCACTCACGAAGCTGCTGGGTCGACTGGGGACGCTGCTGCTGCTGGGAGCTCTGGCCCGAGCCGGTGCCTCCACTCCGACCTCCACCGCCGCCACTACCTCCGCTCCGACCGCCACCACCGCCACCGCCACCGCCACTACCGCCACCGCCGCCACTGCCGCCGCTGCCACCACCGCCACTGCTCCCGCCGCCGCCCCCGCCTCCGCCGCCGGCCCCACTCCCACCGGCACTCCCGCCACCGCTCCCTCCAGCACCGCCTCCCCCCCCACCTCCCCCACCCCCTCCCCCCCCAGCGCCACCCCCGCCACCCTTGCCCCCCTTGCCCTTGCCAGTGCGGCGCCTCCCACCAGGAGCAGAAGCAGCGCCAGCAGACTCAGCACCAAGGAAGTCAACAGCAGCAGCAGCAGTAGCGTAGGAGGGAGCGAGGGGAGAGGGAGAACACCCCTCAAAGATGGGGGTGCGAGGAGCGCCGCGAGCAGCACCTACAGCTACAATGCTCTTCTCGGCTGCTAGCAGCTTCTCCTCTAGGAGGGCGACAGTGAGCTCAGTGGGACAGCGAGCAAGGAAATAGTCGCGCACTGAGCTGAGGGTGTCAGGGAGACGGGTGACTATGAAGTGGAGTGTCCAGTACAGTGGGGGGGGGTTCTTAGCGCAGAACTCGGTGGGAAGGGCGGCACGCAGGCGAGCGTCACTAGTGCGAAGGTGGGTGATAAGATCGGCGACTGTAGCAAAGGTGGACAGCTCAGGGAACAGGTAAGGCAGCATGAGGCGGCTAAGCTCGGCTGTGGCAGGTGAGGAGTAGCGAGCAACGACAGCGTCGTAAAGGGCCTTAGCGGTTTTGCAGTCGCCAAAATGCTCGAGCTCAGCTAACGGCAGGTGACTGCGAATGGCTAGGCGAGCAGCAGCGTCACGCGTCTGCCACTGAGAACGTACACTAAGCTCGGCTGTGCCAGCAGAAGAGAAGAGAGCGGCAGCACCAGACGCGTAGTCATAGAGGGAGATGTGGTCCGTGCTATTGCTCATAAGATACAACTGCAGGTCGTCGAGCCAGGAAGTGAACTGCACGGGACGGCCCTCAGCATCGAAGGAAAGAACGCGAATAGAGGCCATAGCTCAGGCGTGAGGGCACAGCAGAGCAGCGGCAGCAGCAGAGGGGACGCAGCACTTGGGGCAGTGAGGCAGCGGGCGGCGCTGAAGCAGGGGGGTAGCGGGCGGGCGGGCGGCGCTGCGAGCGGGCAGCGAAGCGGGCGGGCCGCGAAGTGGGCAGCGAGCGGGCGGGCGGGCTGCGAAGCGGGCAGCGGGGCGAGCGGGCTGCGAAGCGGGCGGGCCGCGAAGCGGGCAGCGAGCGGGCGGGCGGGCTGCGAAGTGGGCGGGCCGCGAAGCGGGCAGCGGGGCGAGCGGGCTGCGAGGCGGGCGGGCCGCGAAGCGGGCAGCGAGCGGGCGGGCGGGCTGCGAAGCGGGCGGGCCGCGAAGCGGGCAGCGAGCGAGCGGGCTGCGAAGCGGGCGGGCCGCGAAGCGGGCAGCGAGCGGGCGGGCGGGCCGCGAAGCGGGCAGCGAGCGGGCGAGCGGGCTGCGAAGCGGGCGGGCCGCGGAGCGGGCAGCGAGCGAGCGGGCTGCGAAGCGGGCGGGCCGCGAAGCGGGCAGCGAGCGGGCGGGCGGGCTGCGTGGCGGGCGGGCCGCGAAGCGGGCAGCAAGCGGGCGGGCTGGCTGCACTGCGAGGGGCGCGCGAGGGCGCTAGTGAGGGGCGCGCGAGGGCGCTAGCAAGGGGGCGCGCGAGGGCGCTAACGAGGGGCGCGCGAGGGCGCTAACGAGGGGCGCGCGAGGGCGCTAACGAGGGTGCGCGCGAGGGCGCTAACGAGGGGCGCGCGAGGGCGCTAACGAGGGCGCACGAGGGCGCTACGAGGCTAGGCACGGGGGGCGGGGTACGGGGTAGCGTGGTAACCGCATGCGAGCGGTGGTGGGCCCTTAAAAAACGGTCGGTAGGTCCTAGGGACCTCCTGCTCTGAATACCATATCAGAATAGCTAGGCAAGAATGAATGAACTAGCAGAAGTTTGGGTACAAATATGAAACCCTAGTTGGGGTTGTACCCCATATTGGCTACCCCACTACAGCCTACCAACATAGAACCCATTATAAGTTAACACCCTGCGCACCAGAATGTCAGCAAGGACAAATACGGGGCCTGGTGCAGCATCACTGCATCATTCTGCAGTAGACCGTCCTGCGTGGGGTGACAGACTTGCCGACGAACCAGGGCCTAACTACCTCTCCTTCTATGCTCCTAGGACTACTCTCCGATGCATCCCCTGTAACACATGTTTTCCTTCTAATGAAACACGCCGCATTCCAACTCTCCCCAGGATTCGCACTACCCCGTTTACCCCGTGGATGCACATGCTGGCGCATGTGGGGGTCCTAATCGATGAACAATGTTAGTCCCCCTCACTATTAGGTGCATCAATGTGAATGGGATCAATAAGCAAAAAGAAACTCAATGACCTTCGTGGATGGCACGCCAAACGCGGCCCCAAAAGCAGACATCCTTGTTCTCATAGACACTAGGTTAACCCTTAACTTCCAAAAACTCATTATGACCCTCAACCAGCCTCATATGCACATTGTCCTTCCCCATTCATCAATCGATCCAACCCGGGGGTATAGCGGTCCTCTTTTTCCATAATCAAATCACCATCTCCTCCCAAGAGTGCTCCCCAGACGGACGGATACTTCCCTGCACTTTATTTACCTAGGCGAGCAACTTCGGCTCATCGCCCTATATGCCCCCTCCACCCCTGCCCTCCGGCGTCCTTGGTGGAGATCCTAGTTCCTAGCTGCACTTAATAATCCCTCCTCCGTGGCCGGCACAATCGTGGCCGGCGATTTCAACGCGTGTGCTCGGCCGAGGACAGGAATAGACCCCCCTTGGCTCATGAAACCTCGGAAGGCGCTATTTTAACCTCTATTCTTCAGCAGTACTCACTGGTCGATTCCTTCCGTCATGTCTACCCGAACGAACCCATGTTTTCCTTGTTCGCCCTGCCACGCGCCCTGCAAGGAGACTCCCCCCCTACAGCTTCACGTCTCCGAGGCACTTAAAAGCATGATTATAGATGCGCAATACGCTTCCGCCTCTAAGGAGCTCACTGATCACGACTTATCCCCTTCTTGCATCCTCCAATGCGAGTCCCCCAATCTTGCCCCCAGGCCCTGGCGGCTCCCTCACTCTCTTCTACGCCGCCCGCACACAGCTCACCTCGTCTCCAAGGCTTGCCAAGCTCTTCCACCCGTTTTGAATGGTGAAAGCTGGGATGCCTGGAAACTCGCTCTGTGCAATCAGCTCAAAGCCTTCGGACGCCAGGAAAAGATTCGGATAAAAAAAACATCCGAACATCTCCAAAACCTGGTCAGCCATATTCGGATTGCCCGTGCAGTCAACCCCACGGACGAGGGCCTCGGTGAGCAGCTGCGCGCCGCATCCCAACAGTTTGACAAGTACGAGGCTTTTCGCGCCGCAGATATAGCCCTCAAAGCGAAGCTGAAAGTCGAAGGCCTCCGCGAAATGGGAGTCTCCTCATTGCTGGTCGGGATTAACTCTCGTATCAAGCCTCGCTGGTCACGTCCCTTCAATCCCCCTCAGGCGAGCTCGTCTCGGACCTCCCCACGATGAGCACCTTATGCACCACCTTCTTCCAAGACCTATACAGTGCCTCGCACCTCGTTCGATACGACGAGAATTTCTGGTCGCATGTCCCCCCTCCCAGCTCCCCCCTCACACTTCCTCCCGACTCGCGCTACCCTTCTCTTATGGAGGAAATCGCCTCTGCTATCAGCAAGCTCCCGCGCTTGTAAAACTCCAGGGCCGGACGGCCTGACAGGGGAACTCTTCCGCTCCTTCAAGACCAGCTTCACCCCAGCCATCCACTCCCTGTTCCTTGCCCCTCCTCCGCCCTCCCCCCCACGATGCTGCAGGGTCGCACGGTGCTTATCCTAAAAAAGGGGATTCCACCGTACTTGATAACCTCCGCCCGATCACCTTAATGAATTCCGACTATAAAATCCTTGCCATTTGCCCTCGCCTCCCGCCTCCAACCCTTACTCCCTTCCCTCATTCACCACTCTCAAGCTGCGTTTATCAAATCCAGGAAAATCGTTGATACGCTTAATGATACTCTCGATATCTTCAACTGGGCCACCACACAAAAAATTCCCTTTGCTTGCCCCTGACAGTTGACATTCGCAAAGCATATGATTTAGTCGATCGAGAATTCATGCTCACCTGCCTCGCAAACCCTCGGTCTGCCTCCCCCGTTCCTCCATTGGGTTCGGCTTATGCATACCAATACGACCACAAAAATATCCGTCAACAACTTCTGTGGGCCGGCCATCCCTGTCCGCTCAGGTGTACGCAAGGGTGTCCCCTCGCCCCCCTTCTCTTTCTTTGCGTTATCGAAGTTTTCCATCGCTATGCTTCTCACTTCCTTCCCAGCTTCCCATCTCCTGCACCCAACGACGGCTAAGTCGTGCTATGCAGACGACGTGACAATATTCCTAACTCTGACAAAAAGCTCCAGAAGGCCTCTCACGTTCTCCTTTCCTTTGCCGCGGTGTCAGGCGAATACCCGAACCGAGCCAAATGTGCCCTCATTCCATTCAAACATTCCCCCTCGGCAATCACATATGCCGGCGCCATTCCCATCCGCGGCGATCGTTGAATTCGAGCGGATCCAGGGCATCTACGTCGGTCAATCCGGCCGCTCCGACGTCACTTGGGAAGAAACCAGACACAAATCAAAAAGACCGCTAACTTCCTTGCCAATTTACACGCTTCCTCCTCGTGCCGGAAAAACCTGTCAAATATCTTTCTGAACTCTGCCTTGACCTTCCCTGGCAGATTTCAACCCCCCCCCCCCACCCCCTCCATTCAAGCCATCGACGCAGTCGTTGGGAACTTACTCTCGTCGTCCAAATACCAAGCGGAAGGTCGTACTCACCGGCTCCTCGCTCATAAACACCATATACAACAGAGTCGAGCACGGCGGGCTCGGGGCAATCCGTCCCACCACGCAAATACTTGCGCTGAACGCTCAGCGTGCACTGCGTCGCTTCTCCCATCTTCCCAACGCAGCCGTCGCAAGGGAGCTCGTACCCATCCCCTTCGGCCTCCCACGGCTTCCTGCTTCACAAAGACTTCCTCGCGGCTCTCCTGACGCCGTCCCGACCCGCCTACGACAAGAAGTCCGGAGTCTCACCTCGCTCTCCCTTAACGTGCTGCCCCCCGCCCCGAGTTCTGGTGCATCCTGGCCGAACTTGTCCCGTTCAACCCCCTCCTCTGCAAGGAGGACGGGCGACCCTTCGGACGGCTCAAAGACGAGGCCTTCCTCTTAACGGAAGAAGTCCGTATTGGCCATCTTGTGCGCCGCGACGCCACAGGTGCCCGCCGGATGACTAAGGAGGAAATCCTGCTCAAATACCCCCCCCGCAACTACCCTTGCAGCCGCCGTATCCTCCACGAAATTTATGAGGCGATGCGGACGAATTGGTTGGCGGCCCTATCCTCCTCCACGCCGCGTCCCCTGTCCTCTGGCGACTGGGGTGATAATGGCGGCAGATATGCACTCCCTTCCTCGCCTCGCTTATGAAGTCGCCTCCTATCTCAACTGATTCCTTCCAGGCCAAGCGCCTACCCATCGACCCAGTAGGTAGAATCTCGAAGGTGGCTGAGGCTCGTTGCCTCCTCCGCATTCGAGATACGGTGCAGGTGCTCGTGACAGATCGGTGGCTGCGGTACCTTTTGCTCAGGAGCGGGGAACTAGCAGCGCGATTGGAGCTCTACACGAGGGCGCCCCTTCACTATCGACGATCAGGAGCCTGGCTTACACGCAACAGCCGCTTCCGCATGCGCAACGATGGATTAA